CACGCACGCACACGCGCCCGGCGTGAGTTTAAGCCACTGGGTCTGGGACTTGAACCGTGGTCGACTACATGGGAGTCCAGTGACATAGCCATTACGTTAACTGCTGGTCCCCCTATGTCTTTTTCACAGTTGAAAAATAAGTGCTTTAGAAACACTTCCTAAATTTGGTCAACATATCCCAACTTCTGATCTGCTCCAGAATCAAAAACAAAATGAACAAAACACCCTGAACGATTTGAAAGCCATCAATAGAAAAGTTTTTTTTTTTTTTTTTTTCTCCTGGGAACTAGGGACTTGGAATTAGGGGTCTGAAGCAGGGAGGATTATATTAAAGTCTGTCTGTATATAAAGACCATGTCTTAGTGGCTAAAACACTGCTAGTAGGGGGCCAGCAGGTGACGTGGTGGTTAAAGTGCTGGACTCCCACATGGTCAACCACAGTTCAAGTTCCGGAACTAGTGGCCTGAAAATCACACTCTGTGTGTGTGTGTGTGTGTGTGTGTGTGCATGTGTGTGTGTCCAAGATCCTGAGAGGAGAATGGAGGAAAAGGGATTGCAGTGTGACCATGCCCCCCGGGCCGGGGCGGAGGAGCGCGATTTCTCACTTTCCTCTCTGTCTCTGTCAAGCACTCCTGTCCTAGGGCAAAAATCTAAAGAAAAAAAGTTGTTGGTAGGTAAAGGGATTCTCAGAAAAATCAGTGGTGGCAGCGATCTGATTGCCTAGAATCACTAACAGAATTCTCATCACATTCAAATCCACCAGTTTCTGATATTTTTCTCCACACATCTGAGAATCTTGTGTCTCGGACCGATTGAGAAATAATCCACACCGGCTTCTCTTTGTAAAGAAAAGAGGCGGATAGCATGAAAGTAGTGAATACGGCAACTTTTGTTACCAAAGCACCTGCCTCCGACTTTTTTCCAAACAATCTTGCTTTGGTTCCAAATTATGGATCAAGAATAAGCTAAGCCAGTTATGACAGCCCTGTCTCCTTATTCAGCCTCCATGCAGTTAAGGGCCAACTTAGAACCAGCCCTGGCTGATAAAGTTTGAAGAGGATCGTGCTGTACCAGTTTTTGAGAAAACTGTTATTATTCTTGGCAGCAGACTCTAATGCTGAGGCCCTTCTTCGTTCTCTCCTCTGTCTCAAATACAGACCTGGTGACTCGTCAGAACCGTGGGGCAGCTGTTTTAGGGCCATGAGCGGGAAAGCCAACACACTGGGGACGGCAGGTCCGAGGACGGAAGGCGTTTGGGTCCCAGCTGGCATCCCTGAGTTGCTAAACTAATGCTAGAAAACTGCCTGTCTTCTCTTTCTTACAATAAAAGAAACGGATGTGCTTCGCCCTCCATATTCCAGTTTTCTGTTATTTATAGCTGCTTGCATCCCTAAGTACTGTGCCTTGAGCTTAAGCATTATAAATCATCTCCCTGGTCATCACAACCTTCTCAGAGAAATGAGTAAACTATTTTCTTTAAGCAGACGGATTAATTCATAAAAACAAGCTGTGACCTAGAAAATAATTTTGTTCTCTTTCACTTCATTGGCCCAAGAAAGCTTTTCTCTAGACCCTCCCCTCAGAGGCTTTGTCTGGACACAGCCTAAAGCAAGCTTCTAAGAATGTTCCATTTTCCCCATTCAAGTCCATGGTTATTTGCATCTTCACATTGTTTCTGAAGCAGATCTTTTCTCAAAGGAGACTAAAATGGCTTTGGAAAGCAATGCATTTTCTTCCCAGGCTTTTCCGGCAATGGCGTATTAATAAGCTAGGCACACGAAAGAAGGAAAAAGCCAGTGTTTCATTAGAGCAAAACAAAGCTCTCCAATTTTTATCCTTTTGTGATTAAAAATAAAGATGGTATATACTGTTGGTTTGTTTGTTTGGAACCTTTTCAGGGGTACTTTTTGTAGGATTTATTCAGCTAAAGACTTTAAACTGGTGAGATGGGGTAAGAACTAGCCATGGGGAGGCGTACGGGAGGAAGAGTCCTCTACTGACCAGCATGGACGGTGAAGCACAGACATCTCATTCTGTGATTTTGAAATTATTTCAAATAGTAGGTTAAAAACCATTTGGGGGGCTAGCAGGTGGAGCTGTGGTTAAGGCACTAGACTCCCACGTGGCCAACTGTGGTTCAAGTCCCAGATCTGGCAGCTTGCTTATTCACTTTCTCTGTCTGTCTCTCTGGTGAGTGCACAGGCCCTACAGCAAATTAAAATAATAATAATAATAATAAGTAAAAAAAAAACAAAAAAAAACAAAATCAAAACACTTACAATGTTTGGATGTGAGAGGCGAAGAAGAACTCCTATCTCAGTTCTTACGATTTTTTTGTCGACCTAAAAAGCAAAATAAAAGAGAGAAACTGAAGGACACTCCCAGCTTAGAAATACCAGAATTGGCAACAGCTGCCTGGGTGACTGTGGCCACTGGAGGTGGCTAACGCCTGCACTTTCCCTGTGTCCCCTCTCTCCCTTTCTTCTCACATAAAGCAGAGCAGTGACTAACGTGGTCCCCCTCTCCTAGGCAGAGTCACCCTCGTTACTGTCACACTAGGGTACTAGTTCACTGCCACCATCCCTCCTCCCCTTCCTTTACTGTGGGCTTGTCCCAGCCCCATGGAGCTGTTACTCAGACGGCGGAGGGCAGGGGCTATACACCGAGCTCCCCCCTCTCCCTCGTCGCCCTCTCCCGAGACCCAGTGCCGGTCCGGCCGGGCCTCCTGAGCGTCCTGTGACCATGACCTCCACCCCGGGGAGCTGACCGATGGCAGGGCCATCTAGAGATCTGCACTCCCCCCACCTTGCTGTCACTGGATCAGGCTGTTCCAAAGTTCGGGGTCCTCCCTCCCCAGGCCAGTGAATGAGCCTAACCCCGAGCAGCTGGAGTTCCAGAGCTCTAATATATCCCAGGCGGCGAGGCTTGTGGAATAGTCCATCAAAACAATATTGTTGAGCCAGCTGGTGGCATGGTGGTTAAGGCAGCTGGGTCCCACATAACCACCTGTGCGGTTCCAGTCCTGGTCCCAGCGACTCAATGAACACACCAGGCGCATGCGCCGGCATGCCCAAAATCCCGAAAAGGAGGGAGAGAAGGAAAATGAATGACCATGTGATCATTCCCCGTGGGGATGCTTTCTCACTTTCCCTCTCTCCCTCCATCTCTCTCTAGTGAGAATACGCACCCCCTAGAAAATTTTTAAAAAATAGTAAGATAATCCCTGAACTCCCACTGCAGCTTCTGCCACCTGAGCTGCCCAGGCCCTCGGACAAGCAGAGCACACGGGGTGTGAAATCCACACGGGGAGGCTTAGGTGCAGCTCACGGCTTACTCTGCGGGCACACCCAAGAGAGCGAGCTACATGGAGAGCCAGCTGGGCCCTCCAAGCTACTCTCCTGAGGAAGAAAGGGTGGGCCTGAGGAGAACCAATCCATTCCAATGGGGACAGCGAACCACAGCCTCCAGGAGGATGAAGAACAAGAACCATTCATTGTATTTTTAGTCTCTAATGAAACCATTAACCAACACGGACACATTCTTTGAAAACAAGAAATACTCAAAGGAATTTTATGAACCTGATACAGTCCTTTCCTTGGTTATCACATCTAAAAATACCTTATAATATATTCTCTCTGGCAAATGTAATTTCGTCAAATCCTACAATACCTTACTTAAAGATAGCAATCATTGATAAATGTCTTTAGATTTTACTGGGAGGCAGAATGTTTACAAGGAAATGTTACAGTGTTCTCACGCCTATAAAAAAATGTCTCAGGAGTCTGGTTCACCACCATACATAATAAAGCATTAAATAGTAGGATTGTCATAGTGAGGCCTCTTAAACTATAACAACAGTTTTAGCCATCCATGAAAGTAATTGGGAGGCTCAGGGTGTCTCTACGCAGCTTTTTCCCCTTTCTTTCTTTTTTTTTTTTTTTTACTTTTAGTTTTTTTAAGAATTATTTTTATTTAACTTTATTTATTATTATTTTCCAGTTTGATCAGAGAGAGAAGGAAAATGAGAAAGCAAGCTACTAGATCCAGAACTTGAACCATGGTCAGCCATGTGGGAGTCCAGCGCCTTTAACCATCATGCCACCTGCCGGCCCCCTCTTTTAGTTTTTGCTATAAGGAGCATGTACTTGTAGAAAAGACAGAGAGAAAGAGAGAAATCACCCCCTAGGGAAGATGGCCATGCCACAATCTTCTCCTTAAGACTCCTCTTGGGATTTGGGGCATGCATGCACACATGCTCCATGTGTTTTTCAAGCTGCTGGGTCCGGGACTCAAACCAGGTGGGATCCAGCACCCTAACCACTGTGCCATGTGTTCTCTGTATTAACGCAGTTTTGCCAAAGGAAATGAAACTGTTCAAATCAATCCACGTGAGCAGACAGTAGCACGGGAGTAGCACAGGCTTCGCAATGCTGGACACACAAAGGAAGGTCCCGCTGATGCACTAGGGCTGCCCTGTGGGGGCCAGGTGCGCGGTGCCCAGGGCTGGGGCTGGCTGAAGTATGGAGCAAACTGTGGCATAACGACCTTGCTGGGGGTGCTTGTCTCCTTCTATCTCTGTCTCTCATGAAAGAATTAAACTTCTAAAAATGTTTTTATAAATCAGTTCGTAGTCTCTACGCAGCTTTTTCCCCTTTCTTTCTTTTTTTTTTTTTTTTACTTTTAGTTTTTTTAAGAATTATTTTTATTTAACTTTATTTATTATTATTTTCCAGTTTGATCAGAGAGAGAAGGAAAATGAGAAAGCAAGCTACTAGATCCAGAACTTGAACCATGGTCAGCCATGTGGGAGTCCAGCGCCTTTAACCATCATGCCACCTGCCGGCCCCCTCTTTTAGTTTTTGCTATAAGGAGCATGTACTTGTAGAAAAGACAGAGAGAAAGAGAGAAATCACCCCCTAGGGAAGATGGCCATGCCACAATCTTCTCCTTAAGACTCCTCTTGGGATTTGGGGCATGCATGCACACATGCTCCATGTGTTTTTCAAGCTGCTGGGTCCGGGACTCAAACCAGGTGGGATCCAGCACCCTAACCACTGTGCCATGTGTTCTCTGTATTAACGCAGTTTTGCCAAAGGAAATGAAACTGTTCAAATCAATCCACGTGAGCAGACAGTAGCACGGGAGTAGCACAGGCTTCGCAATGCTGGACACACAAAGGAAGGTCCCGCTGATGCACTAGGGCTGCCCTGTGGGGGCCAGGTGCGCGGTGCCCAGGGCTGGGGCTGGCTGAAGTATGGAGCAAACTGTGGCATAACGACCTTGCTGGGGGTGCTTGTCTCCTTCTATCTCTGTCTCTCATGAAAGAATTAAACTTCTAAAAATGTTTTTATAAATCAGTTCGTAATACTTCAAAACAAAAGTATATTCTACTAATGTTGAATGAATGCACGTCTTTGCAACCCAGTGTGCTTCTTGAGATATTCATAAACATCCTCCGTGGAAATGCAGCATCAACGATGAATTCTGACTAAGAGAAGAAGGAGATGTGAGCCGTGTATTTCAACACCTGACAGTTACTACGAGGCGGTTACCTAAGAGGGAAGGTTCAGTGTGAGCAGAGGAAAACAAGTTGGTGAGAAGTCACCTCACGCCAGTGACTGTACATCAAACTGGTAGGCTCTGGGCTCTCACAGGGAAGGAGTAAAGGGAGCCATGCATCCCGACAGCCAGTGCTCCATGACTAGAGATCTCTGGAGGCTGTTGCACCACCCTGCCCAGACACCAAGTCACAGTCCTTGGCATAATTCGATGACATAAAAAAAAAAGAAAGACATACAGATCTCAACTTTTCAGTTGCAAGAAACAAACACCGAGCTCGAACCCACTTAGACAGAATGGCAATTTATTGGTACATGTAAACAAGTCAGAGAGGATCTGTCTACACACACAGCCAAATCCAGAGGTCAAACTGAAATGATGTCTCTCTCTCTCTCCCTATACCCTCCTCCTTTCCAGATGGCAGGAGTACGGCCGCAGAAGCTCCAAGAGCTGTTTTTCAGTTTCACGTTTGAAAAGGAAGAGCGAGCCTCTTTCTCTTCATCAACAGATCTCATCTCCAGTGGTGTTCTCATCGGCTTTGCTTGTTTTCTATGCCTATTGCTGAATGCTGGGGACATGTAACGATGACAAGGCCAACTGTGGGTCGTGGGTCCTCTCCTGCTTACACCAGGATTGAGGGAGACAGGGAGGCTGCTTCTCCTGAAGAACAGATGTTGGCAGACACTGAAGACGCTGAGGCTGGGTATTTTGAGTATGTATTCCCTCCCTCGTACATTTGTCTGAGACCCTGAAGTATTACTCTCTCTGCTTCTTCCATTTCCCAGACTAATTAATAAATAATTCATTAATCACTATTATCTTATAATGACTCTTGCCATCAGTAAGTTTAAAATTCGAAATTTTGACTATTTACCAGTAACTCAAGTGGACCCTTAAAAGAATAATTTAGAAATTTGCCCAGAAACCGTCTTCATACTGAAAAACTGAAGTAGTGTAATTGTTTGGGTGGTGGATGAGCCTAGCAGACCACCCAGCATTGCACCTCCCTTGTCATTTTCTCCCTCTGGACAGTAATCTTGTCAGCTGTTGGCTAGTCACTGAAGTTGAAGAAAAGTAAAGTAGTCTAAGACAATGACAACTCCAGTCAGTATGAAATGTTGGGGCAGAAATTTAGATAAAGCCATTTCTGAAATTCACGTGCTTTGTGAGGCAGAAGAGAATCCATACCTTTCATTGTATTCTCAAAACTTCTGAGGCAAAGCAAATATAAAACTATGATCTATTTAAAAATAAGAAAATGTGTTCCATGGAACAGGAGAGTCAAAGATCTCTGAGGGCCAGATTGATGGTCCGGTGGTTAAGGGAGTCAGATCCCACATGCTGACCACATAGCTTGCCTCTCGTACCTGGCAACGTGTCGGGCGTGCGTGTGTGCACCCCAAATCTCAGCAAGATGGGGAAATGGAGGAGAGATTGTAGCGTGGCCACGCCCCTCGGGGGTGCTTTCTCCCTCTCCTATCCCCTCGCTCTCTGTCTCTCTCTGGTGAGCACACACAGTCTCTGGCAAAAACACTCCTACAAATGCATCTGCTATTGTATATGGAATAGACGTATATTGTCCTGCAAGGGTCTCACAGACACACTGTGCTTAGCCCCAACTAAGCAACGTGGAACATCTGAAAAAACAGAATACGGTCTTTCCCAGAGGACAATGACAACCTGACTTGGAGGACAAGACTCAGCTTGTCCATCAGAAGTCAGTGAAAGACAGTAAAGGAAGAATATAAGTTTTGTTTTCAAAGTCCCATGGTTCAGTAGAAGAAGATCATTTTTCAGTCAAAATTCGGCTAATAAGAGAAAATTGCGCTACTGGGTTTTTGTTTTGTTTTGTTTTGTTTTTGCTATAGGGCGCATGTGCCCGCCAGACAGACTGAGAGAGACAGAGAGACAGAAAGCGAGAAATCACCCCCCCAGAAGGAATGGCCACACTGCAATCCCTTCTCCTTCATTCTCCTCTCGGGATCTTGGGCACACACGCACACGCGCCCGGGGTGAGTTTTAAGCCACCAGGTCCGGGACGCGAACCGCGGTCAACTACGTGGGAGTCCAGCGACACAGCCATTACGCTAACTGCTGGTCCCCTACGCTCCTGTTAATACAAAAGGAAGAATGACGTGCTAGAGGGTGCACAGTGCACAGGGGGCTGGCGTGATGCGTGGACTGCTGAGGGTGTCAGGCAGCCCACGCCACGGGCCAGACAGTGAGGTCCAGGAGGTAGGGAGGTAATAGAACAAGCCCCTGAAAGCTCTTGACTTCCATGCGAGAAGTATCGGTTTCACGGAAACTAGCTATTGAGCAGGAGGCGTGCACCACGTGGGAGAGCCCCAGAAGAGAGACACAGCGCTGGAACACTCAGATGATGCCAGATTCCCTGAAAGCGCTCCTGCCTCACCTCCTTTTCAACTCCCACAGATGTTGTTGAAGGTGTTTCTGATACCATTCGCGTTTTTAATATACTTTCTTGCACACATTTAAGGTGTATACCGTAGTATGATAGGTACATACAGAGAGTGCAGAGGTTACGATCACGTAGCAAGGGAACATACTGGCTACCTCACACGGCCATCCATTTCCGTCTGTAGAGCGAGAAGAGCGAAAGCCTCCTCGTTGAGCATGAATCCCACACACTGCCCACGTCACTACCGATGGCCCTCGTGGCACCTAGGTGCACCGCACCCTAGACAGCTGCTGCTTTGTGAGGCAGCTGATTTTTCTCACCATCTTCTCATCAGGTAAACTCGGGTTCCTCACCGACATGAAATGAGTATACTTGTCACTATTCCATGATGCTATAAACAAGTGGGAGGTTAAGCAGTGGGACAGTGCTGACACAGCTGGGCCCACACGAGCAGGGTCCTTGGTGTGCACCCCAGGGCCTCCCTGAGTGTGCTGGGTGTGCGCATGTCCAGGACGGGGCTGGCCGAAAGGAGGGGGGGTCACAACATGGGGATTCTGCTGGGAATACCTGCCTCGGCATATGTGTCTCTGTCTCTGTCTCTCACCCAAGAAATAAATGAATAAACTTTAAAAAATTTTATGGAAATAGATATCTCTAAATTAAGATGGCTAGCATTTAAATGTTTTTTTCACTACACATTTAGGGTTTATATAATATAGGATGCCTTCACACATAATTGTCATATATTTCCGATCAATATAAAATGTGAACAGGCATGGGGATCCTTTAATTTTTTTTACAATATATTTATGTCAAACAAAATACATACATATACTGTGTGTGTGTGTGTATGTGTGTGTGTGTGTGTGTGTGTGTGTGTGTGTGTATTTATGTGGATATAAATATGTATAGTTTCTTTTTTTTTTTGGAGAGGTTTCTGCTACAGGGCGCATGCACTCGCCAGAAAGAGAGAGAGAGACAGAGAGACAGAAAGCAAGAAATCACCCCCCAGTGGAGATGGCCATGCCACAATCCCTTCTCCTACATTCTCCTCTCAGGATCTTGGGCACACACACACATGCGCCCGGCATGAGTTTAAGCCACCAGGTCTGGGACTCAAACCGCGGTTGACTACATGAGAGTCCAGCGACATAGCCATTACACTAACTGCTGGTCCCAAATATGTATATTTTCTAGGGCCACATGTGTTTACAAGACAGAGACAGAAAGAGAGAGTGAGAAAGCACCCCTCAGGGGGATGGCCACGCTGCAATCCTCTCCATTCTCTTAGGGTTCCGAGTGCATGCACACGCACCTAGCGTGTTTCTCATGCTGTGGGGTCTAGGAGTAAAACCACGCAGTCAGTCACGTGAGATCTGGATGCTACCACACACCCAGCTGGCCCCCAAATATTTCTAATGTAAATATGCATTTTGAACCAATACTGTACTTTTTGCCACATATTATACATTGGGATTTTTTTTCTTTTTATTCTTTGAGAGTTAAATGATCTATACTCTAGGTCTACCCAGAACAGGCCAGACTGCAAAAGGTTTGGGCACATAACCTTCTAATATAACCATTTGTTCTGAATTCAGAATTAACTTTTCTTTGAAAACAATTTTCAAAGGGTATTTCTCAGTATCATTTATATCACTGTTTTTTTGTTTGTTTGTTTGTTTTTTAATTCCAAATGTGTCCTGAGTCCCATCCAGGCCCTTGAGACTCTTCCAGGGTATACGAGATGCTCCCTTTTCATTCCCTATCTGATCGAGGCCAGACTTTTTCATATACTTCAAACAACAAACCGATGAAAGAATCAGATGAGATCAAGGTATAATCCATTAAGCCAGGTAGTAAGAAGATCTGCAAAACGATGTCACTTTTCTTGATAGGTTTTTATTTTTCAAAGTATAGTTAGCTTGTTAAAAATATTACTTTCAGAGCCAGCAGGTGGTATGGTGGTTAAGGTGCTGGACTCCCACATGGCTGACCATGGTTCAAGTCCCAGACTAGATAACTTGGAAATCACGTGGGTACATGTGCTTGCACGCACAAAATCCCAAAGGAAAGTGGAAGAGAAGGGACTGTGCCATGGCCATTCTCTCTGGGCAGTGATTATTCACTTTCTCCCTCTGTTTCTCTCTGGTGAGCACACATACCCTCTAGCAAAACAGAAACAAAAACTAATTACATGTGTTAAAACATACTGTTATTTTAAAAATTAATAAGTATAGGGGCCAGCAGGTGGTATAGTGGTTAAGTGCTAGATTCTCAAGTGGCTGACTGCGGTTCAAGTCAGCTAGACCTGGCAGCTTGAAATTCATGCCAGGCCACATGTGCGTGCATGCCCAAAATCCAAGAGGAGAATGGAGAGGAAGGGAAGGCAGCATGGCCATCCCCCCAGAGGCGTGATTTCTCACTTTTTGCCTTTCTCTCTGGCAAGTGCATGTCAGATTAATAAATGTATTTTAATGTCTCAATTTTAGTCTTTAATACACTTACTATGTATATATGTATATACACACACACATGTATATGTATGTATGAGATTTTTGATAATTCTGTGAGCACACAGGGCTTTGACGCCCCCAAATTTGAGAAGCACTACTCCAGAAAATGTAACATTATACATTTGAAAATAGATTGAAAGAAGGAAAGAAAACTTTAAAAAATGCTTGTAGAACACATCAATGAGAAGAACACGTGAACTCTCATTTCTACTCTCCTGAAAGCTGGAGCCCAGGTTGAGGAATATGCAGCTAAGAGTTCAGTGGAGGTGGAGACAGGTGAAGCAATAAAAATATCTTAAGAAACTTAAGGAGAAGTGGGGCTAATGCACCCTGATCCAAAAAAGGGAAACGGAGCCATAACAGCTAGGCTAAGAGTAAAGCCGTGACAACCACGAAAACCAGCAGACGGTAGAGTTGAAGGAGCCAAGACGGCAGAAGAGGAATGGACAGGTAAGTGGCTGAGAGGCCCCAGACAGCCAGAGTGAGCCCAGGAAACCCTCCCCAGAGGGCTAGGCTGAGCCGCAGGGGGCGGGGCTTCTCTGCACCAGGCCCTGTCTTGGAGGTCCCACAGGTGTGGGTCTTGACAGCTGGCTCATTTCAATGTTCCCCTTATCTCTCTTGTTCCACCAATCAGTGCTCTCCTCCCGCTTCTGAGCTCCCCTTCCAGACTCTGGGAACCCACGAGAGCCTGCCCTCTGGCACTGCCATGGGGAGAGAGTACCGTTTCCTAGAGAGTAAGAGGCAGGCAAGCCACGGAAGCCAGTGGGCAGCTCCCCGGACACTCCTCACTGCCGCTCGAAGCCCGTCTCCAAGTGCTGCCATAACTGGCGTCCTGAGGTGTCAGCAGCTGGCCCTAACAAGCCAGCACCACCATGACATCGGAGCCCAGGAGCCGTCGCTCGGCGTCAACTAAATACCTTGGAGAATGACGGGTTTCCATCACGGATGACTTCCAGTTATGAACTCACGGATGTGTTTTAGCCCAGCTTCTCCAGAAAACAGGTGTGAGATAAAGATATCAGTTCTGTACCGGGCCAGCAGATGGCACACTGGCTATGGGCTGGACTCCCCCATGGCCAACTGCAGTCCAAGCGCTGGACCTGGCGGCTTGGAAGTTATGCCGGGCACATGTGCAAGTGCGCCCAAAATCCAGAAGAGTGGAGGAGAAGGAACTGCAGCATAGCCAGCCCCCCCGGGGGGGGGTGATTTCTCACTTTTCCTCTTGCTCTCTCTCTCCTGAGAGCACATATGCCATAAGGCAAAAACTTAAAAAACAAATCTGCCGTTTAGGAAGGACGGTATTGCCTCAACAGCAAGAGCGAGGCAAAGGGGAACTGCAGACAGAAGGGCTGCAGTGCAGCAGTGCGCTGGCTGCCACCTGCCGTGAGTCACAGGTAGAAGACATCCGGGCTCCGGAGCCAGGCCACCAGCCTTGAAGCCCCTAGGAAGAAGGAAGGAGGGGAATTTACCTGTCCAGAAGCCCCCTTCTCCTGCACCCGCCCCACTGGCGAAACCGACCCCATGGCTAATTTTCCCTGCTCTCTTTGGCAGCCACTCGTGACGTCATATCCCTCCTTGGCAGCTGTCAAATCTCATTCAAATTCCAAAGTGGCTGGGAGTCCAGAAATCTGAGGAGTGGGGCTGGCTGGCCTAGCCGCATGAAATGGTCAAAGGGCAGCCTGGCAGCATCGCGCCTGGGAAGCGGGCGGGCAGAAGGAATCCGGTTCTGTCCAGCCAGGGTGCACTCTGCACGTCAGTGACTAGGTAAAGGAGCCGGGCGGGAGGGGACCACCGCACTGCCCCTGCAGGGTCTGCGGTTCACTCTCATCACAAAGGGCTTTGTCTCCCACTGGCAGCCTCTGTGTCACTGTGCTAGTCACCAAGGCGAAGTGGATAAGCAAGTGACCTGGGGCCCGGGGTTGTTCTGTAACGCCCCTAACTCATCTACTTCAACTACCCTCAGCATCCGGAGAAATACTTCTGTTCATTCTCACAAAGGCACTGTTGAAACAGGCGGCGTTAATGGCTTTTGATACATTTTCAATATAAAACATATCGTTTGAAGATCATACTCAGGAAAAAAACTTCGACAATTTTAATACAAGCAATGGTAAAGGTTTGTATAGTTTCAAAAATCCACAGTACTCAGGATTCCTTAATATTGAAAAAAATCCCAATTTTGCTCTTCCCCATGACGGGGGAAAGAAGTGGGTACAAAGTGTCATTCTACAGAGACCTCAGAGAAAAACGCCCGACCATTACAATGGGTTCCATCAGATTTGGACCCGTCACTAAGCTATGCAGAAAACACACTCCCGGGCAGCGACTCGGGTGCTCGGTGAGGGGCAGAGGCCGGAGGACCGAGAGCAGTGGGGAAGAAAGCGAGGAGGAGTAATTAAGAGGGAAGCTACTTCCCGCATTGTGGGAGTGATGGATGAGGACCAGGGGAGTGACTGAGGACCAGATTCTGGGCACTCGACTGCCTCCCCTCCCAGTGGCGGGACCTCGAGCACTCCGGGCAGGCTGCGGCGGCCTGTGCAACCCAGCTATGGCTCTGCCAGTCCTCACGGGCAGTGAAGGGCGGCAGCGTCTCGGCACCCGACACTCAGCCTCATCCCGTTCCCTCCCAGGGACGGAGACCATGTATCCTGTTTTTGTCTCTCAATTCTTTCTCTGGCTTCTCTGGCTCACCCTGTATTTGAACAATGTCCAGAGAACATGATGCAATGTACAGGATTGTTACGGAAACAGGCAGAATATAGATACTAACAGACAAATAAACAACCGAATGTCTTCTGGCTTATAGCACGGTTCCCTTCTGCACAGCTTCTGCTTAATTTAGCATCCTGTTTTCTGACATTCAACAAGTCCATGTTGGCGCTAACGTGCTTGGTGACGAGACTTGACAACTGGAGTTTTGTTCAATTCAAGAATGACACTTTTAGTCTACAAGGACTTGAAAACCAAGAGCTACTGTTTGAACATGCAAAAATAAAAAGTGGGACATACACAACCACCCAGGCTTCCCTACAGGAGGTGGGACTTCCAGTAGCTCCAGAATTTCAACCGCGGCTAACAATTCCCTTTACCTTCCTGCTCTGACGGAAACCCCAAGCGTCTCATGACGGTCACACTTTTTTTTACAGTCTTTCTTAAAGGCGACTCGTTTCCATCCCAGTAGGAAACATACCAGTGCTGAGAAGTAGGACAGATGTCCCTCCTGCCCCTCACTGTGGCAGCCAAGCCATTTCTCCACCCCCGCCCTGTGAAATCGCAGCTTCTGTGACCTGCCTGCCATCTGCCAAGCCACCTGCAGCCTCTCCGTGCCACTCACTCACAGACCGAAGAGTTCAGCAATTTAAGGGATCTTCAGAATGTTAGTGGAAAATGTGTATTAGGAAAAAAAGTATGAACAGACCTCAGGTGTTTGGGCATCAAAATAAACGTGTACTTTAATTCCATTTTTGCCAACTTTTTGAAATCCTTTTGTTTCTCTCTCTCGATCATCACTTCCCTGTTTTCCTTTTTTAAAGTTTATTATTTTTTTTACTGGGAGAGAGAGAGAGCTTACAATAACCTTTTTTTTTTGGAGAGGTGTTTGCTATAGGGTGCGTGTGCTCGCCAGAAAGACAAAGAGAGACAGAGAGACAGAAAGCGAGAAATCACCGCCCCCAGGGGGGGATGGCCACACAGCAATCCCTTCTCCATTCTCCTCTTGGGATCTTGGGCACACACACACACACACGCCTGATGTGAGTTTAAGCCACCGGGTCCGGGACTCGAACTGCAGTCGACTACATGGAAGTCTAATGACATAGCCATTACACCAACTACTGGTCCCTCTACAATAAGCTTTTAAAGTTGCCCTCCACCTGCAGCCTCACCAGAGCTGGATCACAAGCACATGCAATCCTGGCGTCCTCAGGGAGGTCCCTGGACACAAACTGGGAACTTTCCCATGTGGGTAGCCTTGCGGTGTTTCCCTGCTGTGCCACTGCCTGGCCCATCCCATTCTCACTGGCTTCAGTGTTCATGTGGGCGATGCATTCAGCATCCTTCCTCCCAGCACTGCTGCTGCTGCTCATCACTTCCTTAAGCCCTCCTCTGCCTTCCTGCACTCTCCCTCTGCAGTCCACTCCATGGTCACACCTCAGGCCTTGCCGTCACCAACACCTGAGCCACAGTCACCTCAAAAATCTGGATTTCGGGACCAGCAGTTGGCATAATGGCTACATTGCTGGACTCCCATGTAGTCGACTATGGTTTGAGTCCCGGACCTGGAGGCTTAAACTCATGCCAGGTTCCTGTGTGTGCATGCCCAGGATCCCTAGAAGAGAATGGAGGAGAAGGGATTGCAGCATGGTCATGCCCCTGGAGGGTGATTTCTCACTTTCTATCTCTCTGTCTCTGTCTTTCTGGTGAGTGCACGTGCCCTATAGCAAAAACCTCTCCAAAAAAAAAAAAAAAATCTGGATTTCAAACCTCCCGCTTTCCCATTGTTGCCTCCTGGTTTTACTGTTCTTACTTAGCTGGGGCTCCATAGTCCACGAGCGTAAGCACTGCTCTGCACACACCTCCGCTCCTGTGTCTCGCTTTCCATCTGTGGGAGAAAGCCGGGACTGGGCTAAACTCCACTCTTCTGCACACATTCCAAGTCTGTCTGAACTCTCATGGCGAGCAGAAAATGCACAACCACGTTGGCTGGCCCCATTTTTAATTTATGACCCTAAATCCTAAGATAAAAAGTGGGAGGGGCCTGCAGCGCAGGGGACAGGCCAAAGTGGGGCTGGTTTCATTCAGAGGCTCTTCTCCCCAGTCGTCCCCATCTTCGTCAAAGGCAGCTCCATTCCTTCCGTTTCTCAGGCAGGCAGCTCGCGGTCATTCCTTACGCTCCTCTTCCGCTCCTCTTCCGCTCCTCTTGCCACTCCGGTCAGGCCGTCTTCAGATACGGAGGGCTCTTCCCCAGGCGGATTTATGCGCTTCTCACCTCCGTCATCGCCACTCCCGGCTGAGACCTCCGTCATCTCTCACCTGCACGGTTGCCGCAGCCTGTCGCTAGGTCTCCCCTCTTTCATTCTCCCGTCGTCACCACTGTAACACTCAGGACATCGTTTCAAGTCATGTCACTCCTCTCAGAATCTTGCCGGTGTGTCTGATCTCCTTCATACTAAAATGCCAAGGTCTTCTCATGTCAACACGGTCTCTTCATGACCTTCTGGTCCTTCCCACCTCTGTCACCTAACTCCGGAACTGTTCCTTACTGTCACTCCATTGTCCCCAGCCCCACTCAGAGCCGAGAGCCTTTGCATGTGCTCTCTCTGTCTGGAGACTCTCCGTGCATGTCCCCACAGCTACGTCTCATGTGACTTTGTCACAGACACCTTCCCACACCATCCCGTTCAGACAGCACCCTCATCACTCTTCTTCCGTGACTCTGGCTTTGTTCTTGTTTCTTTCTAAATGTTATGCAGTTATAAAGTCTGAGGTCTTATTTACTGGTTCATTTTCTTCCTCTACTATAACATAAGCTTTTTTTCCTCTATAGCGTGCGTGTGCTCACCAGAGACAGAGACAGTGAGAGGGAAAGTGAGAAATCACCCCCTGGAGAGGTGGCTACACTGCAGTCTCTTCTCATTTACTCTCCTCTTGGGATTTTGTGCAGGCCCACACATGCACCTGGTGTGATTTTCAGGCCACAGGGCCCGGGACTTGAACTGCAGCCAGTTGTGTGAGAGTCTAGTGCCTTAACCACTATGCCATGTGCTGGCTCCCAACGTAAACTTCTTAGGAAAGAATTCCTATTTTGTAAAGAATAGCATCTGTACACAGTGGGTGCTCAAGATATTTGTGGCACAAATGGGAAAGATGAATGGAGTCCAGATGCATAAGGATTAGTAGGTGGGTTGAGGAGAGAGTGTTTCCTGTAGAGCGTTTATACACGCTCAGTGAAGGAGAGGCAAGGACATGGGAGGAGAATGAAGGGTGGAGAGAGTATCGGAGGGTGAAGAGAAGTATAAAATGTTCTTTGGCAGAGAGAGGGCGAGCTGATAGTCCTTTAAGATGGGACGTCTGAGCCGCGGGTGGCGATGACGGAGGTGAGAAGCGCATAATCTGGGGAAGACCTTCTGAAAGAAACCAACCCCACCTCGGCCGGTCCCCTGCGCTGCAGGCCCCTCCCATTCTTCATCTTCTTATATCACAGCTCGCTGGTCATCTAGGAAGAGGCCAAGGGGCCCCATTTCTGGGTCTTTCTGCTCTGCACTCGACAGACCTTTGTCTCAAATGCCCTTCTCTCAGATCGTACAGTGTGAGTTTCAGCTCAGTGGAGAAGAGAATGGAAGGGGCAGCCCCCAGAGGAAGTGGTGGTCTAGAGGTGTGGGTGGTGACAAGCTCTGGACACGGTGGGGTGGCAGGAGGGAGATGTACGCTGTACGGGCAACTGATACCCATCAAATTTGACACTGGCTAGGACAGAGCCCACCGTGTTCTGATCAAGATGAGAAACAAGCTCAGCTGCAAAAACTATGAAACTCAAGGATTTTTTTATTATTCTGCTACTAGCCACCTCCTACTCCCTGCAGACACTAAGGCATGGGAGACTGAAGAGAAAAGCTGAGCTTTTCAACGGAAGAGGAAGACAAGGATTGGGATGGAGTTCCACCACAGCAAGACCATCCTGGAGAAGCTGGCCGGGGAGACCATGTGTACTTCAGAACCCAGGACCTCCCTAAGAC